AGCATGTCCAAACAGTTTCCTACAGGAACCCCCTCAAAAGTTGTGAGTGGACAATTTTCTCCAACCCGGCCCAGAACAAACATGTGAAAGTGGGTGGTTGGTGGATCATTCCCCCCACCCCCCACCCCCCACCAACCCTCCTTCCCCCCCCCCCTCCCCCCCCAAAAAAAAAACAGAGAAAGAAAAGCAACACACCCCCACCCCCACCCCCTTGACCACCCCACACCCCCCTTCCACCATCACCAGCCCGTGTCGGTGATCCAAAGGTGGGCAGCTCCAGCAGCTCGGGGGCCAGCTCCGGCAGCCCCAGCCCCCCAGGCCGAGGCGCTTCGCCGCCACGCGCGGCTTTCGCGTGGCGTGCGCGTGGCGTGGCGTGCGGGCGAAGTTTGGGATGCAAGGGGTGGGGGGGCCCTTTGAAAGGGGCACTCGTCCGTCGCTGTTGATCACCTCGTTGATGCCTTTCAGCCCTGTTTTGCCAGACAGTTAGAGACCCTCGACTGGACAGAGCGAAGCCGGGAGTACCTTCGGGAACTTGGCGGCTTGGTTCAAGACTCTCCTCGAATTCGGGTTTCTGATGGAACCTGAAAATGTGAAAGTCAGGGATACAAAACAAGGCTCCCGGACATGTTGATCATTTGCACCACCCAATATGCATGGGTATTTCGGCTCAAGCCCCAGGTCGCGCGGCCAGTTCTCGCGTATCTGTGGGGCCCGGGGGTAGACGCCAACCCCCCTTGTTCCGATGCGCCGGGGGCTTTGTTGGCTGTTTACGCCGATGGCATTGATATTATCTTGATTTGATCAGCCCAGAGCGAGACCCTCTGCCATAGCCTTGGCCAGTTCTTTCCCTATGGATCCCTTCCGCGCTGAGGTGTGTTGTCTGCTCATACTTCAGGCGGGTCTCGCTTGGGTCGGCAGCCTCACGTTTGCTTTTGGAAGCGCTCAACTTGAATGCTAAGTCACTAAGGGAAGCATGGAAAAGGAGACTCGCGTGCATGAAGTTCCAAGCCTTCTGGAAAGATGGATGCCCCTCTGCCCGTTTGGGCCGTTGGCCTGTGAATGGCCAGGATGGTCCTAGCCCCATGGCGCACGCTACTTACAGGCGCGATGGAGCCGTCTGCCTTGGAGGTTCAAACATTTAGCACCTGTGAGCGAAGATGTTGTTTCCAATTCGTTCAAATGTCAGTAACTTTGCACCTGCATTGTGCCGTGCATTGTGCCCTGCATTGTGCCCGGGGGCGGGGCAACTCCAGAAAAGCTGCCGCAACTTGACCCTTTGTGTTTGCTTTTTCTTGCAGGGACAGGGACCTGTTCGCGGGTAGTGTATGAGACTGTGGTACTTAGCTTGGAGCAGGTGTCCTATGGTAGCAGAGCTGATCCATTCAGTTGCCCTGAGTTTAAGTTCAGGCCCAAAAACCAGTCAATGTACACTACTCAGCAAGTCAGGCATGTTTGTAGAAACATCTTGACGCGGAGGCTTGCACTGGGTCCTGGCAGCTGAATGGGTATCTGCTTTCTATTTGCTCGGCATGTAAGGAAGGGAAGGGCGTACCCCCAATTAATCAGGGGACCGCTTCGTAGAATTTTGCCACTTGGGGTGGTGATAGACTAAGCCAAGAGCAGCTGGTGATGTGAGGGACTAGGCGAATGCCTGTGTTTTGGACTCTTCTGTGACTCCCTCAAGGAAAAGAAAGGGGCACAGGGGGCCCAAATCTGGACCATGGCCGTTTTGAACAATCCTCATCAGCCATAAACGCCTTGCAGGCCTGCTATGCTTTGAAGCATTTGCGATTTCCCCTGTACACGAGCCAGAGCCTCAATCCGACGGAACTCTAAGGGCCAGATGACAGGGTCATGCAGCACTAGTTTTGGTAAAGGCCACTTTCTGTGAGTATAACCAAGAGAGTCCCCTTCTAGGTACTCGTGGAGATGGACACAGAGAGAGAGAGAGAGAGAGAGGGGGAGAGAGAGAGAGAGAGAGAGAGAGAGAGAGAGGGAGAGAGAGAGAGAGAGGAGGGGGCCATCTTCCATGGCGTGCAGCGATGTTGACCGAAGAATACAGTTTCGCTCCTCTGGGCTATAAAGGGTGGTGGAGACCCAACAAGGAGCGGGGCTGGCAAGAGGGAGAGCAAGTGGTTCGCGGCTGATTGCAGTCTTGGACGTGGAAGGGCGGCCTTGAAGTTCGGCAATGAGCTACATGCCATTTTTCAGACTCTTGTGTCTTCTGTGTCGTTCCGAAAGAAGCATCACCTTCCAAGCAGGCGATGACTGGGGTAATCGGAGCCCAGATGAAGAACCCCCTAGGTTTTCAGAGGGGGATCCGTCAATCTTTGGCAGAAACACCCCTCATACTCCAATGGGTCGATAGTTGCCTTGAGCGCTCCGAAGGTCCGTAGAGCACTCGCATCACTCGGCCCACGCACCTCATGTGCCCGGGACCCTGCGCAGGGTCAGCTGGCATGGGGGAAACCCCAAGCGATGCAAAGGCACCATGTTTGGACGTGACCTTCCAGCATTGAGGGTGGGTGGGCGCATTTTTCCCTGTTGGGGTGTGGGTAGGTACCCTCAAAAAGGCAACCCCGTGCCTGCTTGCCGATGCGGTGCCGTATATTCAGAGTGACCGCCGAAAGTGCTTGCTGCTCTTGTCCCTTTGAGGCGATTACTGCGAAAGCACTCCCACGCAGGGGAGCTTAAGCGCAGCAAGGGATGGATTTCTCGAGGGCTCGTGCGAATCCAATGATGTTGCAGTCGCGGCGCTTGTTTTGCTTTGCACCGTCTGTACTCCCACACATTTTGCGATCACCTGATGACACTCTGGGGAAATGACTCCTCCACGGCCAACTATGGTGTGTTAGAAGAGTGACTATTTCTGCAACATGGCTCAATTGTAGCAGAGACACCCTGCTGCCAACAAGTTTCCTTTTCAAAATCGCGTTGGGAGGTTGCGGTGTCAGATTCAACGAAGCACCTGAGTTTTTCTGCGGCCACTCGGGAGCGGGCCAACCATTCACTCAAGAACGAAGGGGGCAGCACGAATTCCAGTGAGTGTGTGTGTGTGTGCTGGCAGCTCGGCCCCGTGTTTAACCAGCGAATCGCGGCTGACCCTCGAGCTATTCAATGCCTTGAGGTTCATCTGGCGCACATTGCCGCAGACGGTCATGCAAAGCCGATGGGCAGGCATGCTGGGACTTCCGGTTGTTTCCAAGCGGATTTCAAGTGGGAAATACGGACAATCCTGTAAATTGCCAGGCTTGTGGCCAGTTTAGCTGAATCATTCTGGGAAATCACAGCAAGTGGCTGGGCAAACTCTCCCGGGTGCGGGTTGGCTGTGTCGTCCGACATGAGTTCGCTTTAATAACGAGCAGCTTACGGCGAAGAGGCCGGTGAACCTTGGCCGGCCGGAGTCGCTTCCTGTGGTTCTGCTGGATTCCGTCCGGGGCTTACAGAAGCTGGCAGAAACATGAGTGCCCCGTGCGCGATAAGTTGAGCCGTGGCACAGGCAAAATCAAGCGTCAACCAAGGAAGCAGGGGACGGTGATGGTGATGGTGATGGCGACGGCGGTGATGGAGATGGTGACGGTGACGCCGGGGACGGCGACGGTGGAGATGGTGATGGCGATGGCGGGGATGGCGACGGAGACGGAGAGGCCGAAGCGCCGGCGGAGGAAGCAGCAGCACCCGCCGAAGCTCCAGCCGAAGCTCCAGCTGAAGCGCCAGCCGAAGCGCCAGCCGAAGCGCCTGCGGAAGCCCCAGCTGAGGCGCCTGCGGAAGGTGCAGCGCCCGCTGCAGCCGAAGCGCCTGCTGAGGCGGTGGCAGATGGCGCTGCAGCGCCGGCCGCGGCAGCGGCAGGGGCCGCGCCGGCCGGGGCTGCGCCCGCGGCTGCAGCGGCAGCAGCAGGGGCCACGGTCGCTGGCAATGTGGCTGCCACGACTGCGGCGGCCACAACTGCGGCGGCCACTGCGGCCGTGACCACCGCAGTGCCCACCACAGTGGCACTAGCGACCAAGAAGACAAAGGTGAAAGCAGTTGCACCCCCGGGAGAGAAGGGCAAAGACAAGGATGATGACGACAAGGAGAAAGGCAAAGACAAGAAAAAGGAGAAAGACAAGGACAAAGGAAAGTCCAGCAAAGGGAGCTCTTCCAGCTTGCCCTGGAAAGGCTTTATTTTGGCGCCCTGGCAGCAACGTGTTTGAGTCAGGCGGATCACAACCCTGGAGCACGTGTTGACTCACACTTCGGACTGGCATTCAACATGCGTGTGCTGACTTCGAGAAAAGGTTGAGAATGAGCAGCGTGTGATATCTCACAGGATTCGGCAAGCCTTTCAAAGTGCAACAGGGAAAGTATTTGTTTCGTTGGTTAACGCTAACCCTTTAGGCAGAGAAGCCTAATCCGTCACGGGCTTCACGCGGAACGACCTTCAGTGCGAAGCCCACCCTTTTTGCTGTGGGAGCGCGACCCGAGGTATTCGTGGTGGTGGGCCTTGGTGCTTTTCTCGGGCCCAAGCTCTACGAGGCTCGCTGAACGAGGGAGAAATTTGATCAAATCGGAGTGAAAGGGATTGCTAGACAGCTCAGCACCTGGGAGAGGCGATTTGTGATTTTTTGGAAGGCGAATCAAACTTGGCATGGGGATTCTTGTAAGGACATGCGGAGCGAAGCCCTGCTGCTTGAGTGGTGAGACTTGCAGACTTGCCCACTTCTGCGATACTTTTGGGACCAGGTCCCACTGTCAATTTCGTCGCTTGGAGGGGATGGTTCCCGAAAGGTATCACAGAAGGGCGGCATTGGATTTCCCATCCATTTTTAAGGCTGTTTCCAAAAGAACCACCGCAAGGCAAGAGAAAAACAGCTCATTCAGCACTCCCATGTTGCTGGATGTTTGCGGGCGCCCAAAAAAAAATTCGGCGGCTTTCTTTGGGATGGTGCTTTACTCTTCTGCTTTGGCCCCCCCTTTACCCCGAGCCCGCGCTTCTCGAACCCCCCGCCTCCAGCTCGCAGATGGCGACGGCCAAGCCGGCCCTCCCGGGGCGCCTCAACGAGATCAAGACGGTGGATGCGGATCAGAAGGCCGGGAGGAGTGGCGCGAAAAATGTTTGGGGCCAGGGAAATGGGTCCTTCGGACCATCAGACAATGACCCCCCCAAAGGTTCAACGCGGCGGTGCTCAGTCTGGGAATCTCAGTGGCCCAAGTTTCCAAGTTTCCTCAGTTTTGGGATCGTTGATGTTGACGTGCGCCCTCTAACATTACCAGCTAAGACGGGTTTGTGGCTCTGACCAACGACATACTGGGGAAGGCAATTGCAGGTCACGGGCGAAGATGTTCTGTCTCCTTGCCAAGTTCGCCATGTCGAGTCTGTGAGATGGATCTGTTTTCGATATCTACCACCAACGAGAAGATGATCTCAAACGAGCGGAGGCAGACAAAAGCTATTGGCATCTCTTCCTAGGCACTTGCAATCACTACCTATCTAAGTTGAAAAAGAGTCGATCCCGCTACTGAGGGTGTTTGCTCTACGCTTGGGGAGGGGTTCCTTTGTTTCCGAAAATCAGGGTCACCACAAAGGCGCAGCCCCCTGCCCGTTGCCAGTTGGCCGAGGTTTGGGCAGAGTCCAAAGCGAGGCAAACCTACAGGACGGTGCGGCTCCCGCATGGAATGCCACCCCTGAAAAACACGGAAGGTAGACTTACACTTAGCGTAGATGTCCCTGAACGGGAAGCCAGGAAGCCCCTGGGTTTCAGTCTACCTTGGGGCAGTCCTACTTTTGAGCCCTAGTGGCAGCCCAAAAAGTAGATTTCGTTGTGTGGAAATCCCCGGACGAATGTGGCACCCCCAGGACTCGAAGATCGAATCCAACGCTGTCTCGAGCAAACTCCTCAACTCCTCAACTACGCGTCTGCAAATTGCAGCATCTTGTGTGTTTTGGTGTCCATTTTCAAGAGCTGGACATCTATCCCAAGTTTTGTGGATTTGACAGACTTTCGGGACCTACAATTCTAGAATGCGATGTGTCGTCAACCAAGCGCTGGGCTGCTGATTTATCCAAGCTTGCTTGCTTGCGCTTGCTTGCTCCCTCGCTTCCTCGCTTCCTTGCTTCCTTGCTTCCTTGCTTCCTTGTTTCCTTGTTTCGTTGCTTCCTTGTTTCCTTGCTTCCTTGCTTCCTTGCTTCCTTGCTTCCTTGCTTCCTTGCTTCCTTGCTTCCTTGCCTGCCTGCCTGCCTGCCTGCTTGCTTGCTTGCTTGCTTGCTTGCAGGCCCTATAGTAGTTCCAAGCTCCAAACATGCCCTGCACAGACTTCTGCAGGCCTCAGGGTGCACGAAGTTGCAATTGGCAGTAATTCCAGTGGCAGGGTTCCTCATGCGTCCCCTTTTGGTTCCAAGCATCACCTTCTCCAACTCAAAGTGAGCTTCCTTTTGGTGGAATGATGTTTGATCTTTCTCAGTCGCGGGAGCCCTCCCCATGAAGACAGTGGTACCTCCTCCAGCCAATTTAACGCAGGTTGGGGAAGTAAAACGGGGCACGCGGAGTCTGCGGATATTTCCAGGTGAAAGCTGGTTGCAACCCTGGCTTTTGCAGGAAGTCGGTGTTGGCCGCGCAATCCAGCAAGGGCAGCAGCGACAGCGAGGCCGGGCCGTCTAAAGCTCGCTCTGAGATTTTGCAGTTCCACTACCCCAAAGCATCAGGTTGTTCTGGGAAGAACTGGGAGATGACCTTTCATGAGGACCCCATCTTCCCTTGGGGTAGTGGTTTTGGTGGTCCAATTCCCTCGAGAATTGGAGGTCCAAGAACGGCTTACCCAGTTCAGTGTACCCCAATGAATCTTGACAGCCTATCCCTGTTTCCACGAGTCCAACGCAAATCGACCTTACCCGTAGGCTTGAAGTAAGAGGGGGGGAGGTCCAGTAGAGCCCATAGTGACCCCATTCATTTTCACATCCGGGCGAGTTCGGAAAAGGGTGATCTTGAGAAGGGGCATGGAATAATAATAATTTGCCACTTCATTTGCGCCATGGGCATGTGCAAACGACTGTTGGGGTTGAACCCAGATTCAAGTTGTCAGAGCCAACTCCCTCAAGAATGGTTGCCTCACAGGAATGCTGGAAGGAACATCCAAGCATGGGACTCTACAAGAATCCGTTGCTTCGTTAATGGGCACTGTTTCCTTAAGGCCCCTCTTTCTCGTGAGGCTTGGTCAACGCACACACATAGCTTATGGCTCATTTGGGAGGTACACAACTCTGGGCGTTTTTTTTTTTTTTTTTTTTTTGCGCTCCCGTTTTGGCTTTTGTTTTTCAATGGAAACCAAGGGACACCAAAGGACACCGCTTGTGATTTTTGATGGAAACCCAAGGAAGCGACCTTTGGCAGACCCATGGACTTTGGCCGAATGGCTCAGGATGCTCCAGCGCCGGCGTGCCCGCCTGAGGGCAGCTTCGGGGTAGCTGGATGGGATTTGCTCTTGATTTATGTTCAAGACATGGCATGAAAAGACAAACACGTTCATGGCTGGTTTGTCGGGTCATTCGAATGCCACATGCGCCAGCTCACGTCGAGAGCTGCTACTTGGCGGCTGTAGGGTGAGCAAAATGTGTGTGACAGCCCGGCCCTGGCTTTTTTGGGAGCCAGACAGAGTTTGTTCAATAGTGGTTTCAAACCCGGAAGCCTAAACAACTAGACAAGAAGCCCTAAAGCATAAACCCGGGACCTCAACCACCTAACGTGAGGGTTTAGTGTTGGAAGACAATGCGGGGCATGGTCCTCCGCCAGCCATACATGAGTAAGAGTCCTTGTAGGAGTTGTCGGAGGCTCCTCCTTCTCCTCCTCCTCCTCCTCCTCATCATCATCATCATCATCATCATCATCACAATCATCATCATTATCATCATTATCATCATCGTCATCGTCATCGTCATCATCATCATCGTCATCATCATCATCATCATCATCATCATCATCATCCTCATCATCATCATCATCATCATCATCATCATCCTCATCAGCGGCAGCCGCAGCCGCAGCCGCAGCCGCAGCAGCAGCAGCAGCAGCAGCAGCAGCATCGTCATCATGCTCTTCTTCTTCTTCTTCTTCTTCTTCTTCTTCTTCTTTTTGCTCGTTGCGAGCAATCAAGAAGTGGGGTGTAATATTATCTACCCCAAATGCGATGCATATATAGCTCCTGCACCCGTTGAAGTCAGAAGAATCATCGTTTGGGTGAAAGTATGATGAAATCTATGATCAATTTGGGATGGACATAAGAGACTCACTGAACTTCAACCGCAAACACGTCGCACGAAGCCCTAATTTGTGCGTATTGAAAAAGCCTCAAAGATGAGTGGATTTTCTTGGCTTTCCCTGTACAAAGCACCTCCAACCGCAATACCCTTATAAAAACGCACATAGTCGCTCCGCCTTGGAGACCGATTCCTGTTCCACAAGTAGCCCACTTGAGGCGCGGTAGCAGCAGCAAGGGGAAAGAGGCGACCGAGGCCTCGCCGGAGGCACGCCGGGCGAGGGGACAAGGCACATGGGAGACTCGACTCTCCAAGTTTCCTGTCAAACAAACAGGGGGGTTGACAGGGGGAATGTCTAACTTGCCTATTCTCACAGAGGGTTATAGAGGGTATATCCAACTTGGGCCACGAACAGAGCCTCCAGCTGGTCAACCATGAGCCGTTTGCCGGCCACGCGAGAGTTGGCAGGAAGGATCGAAGAGCCGCGGAAGCTCGCGGGAGGAGGCGCCTTGGCTCGAGGGGACTTCAGGAGAAAGCCACCAGCTGATTGAAGGGCGGTTTGAGGTCCCCGGTTTTTACATCAGCTTTTATCTCTCATGATCAAGTTCGAGCTTATTTATTGATTAAAAGGAATTGTCTCCTTTTAGATGGCTGGACCCCCTGCTCCATTTTCAGGATTGTCTTTTGTTCCTTCCGTGGCCGACGTGGGGCAAGCAGGCCCAGTTGCATCTCAGCCCAGTATGCCTCAGACTTGGCATGACCCTTGCCCTTCAGATAGTCTTGACGGAAGCTGATTTGAAGGGACTCCTAGTTCGACACTATCACATTTGTAGTTGTAATTGACTATTTGTGTTGAGTTTCATCCCAAGTCATGTGTCTTTGCCTGGTGAGTACGATAACCATGGTGCCGGCCGGATTGTTTTTGCGGGCGCAGCGGCCATGGCTTTCGACGGGTACTTTTCAGCTTGCGCTACGGGCCACAATATGTTATTCTATACCGCTGGCTGTGCAAGTATGTGTAAGCAATATACAATTCAAGTGTCAAGTTCCAAGGATTCAGGTATCAAACCATGCATCATGTGAGACCCCAACCCTTCGAACACCCAACCCACGGTGAGGCCGAACACTCTGCCACATCCCGGATGTGACATCCGGTTCCCAAAAGGGAACCGGCCCGGAAATCGTGCAAGATGTTCGTTGACTCTGACTTTTTTCCCCAATACTACCCTTAAGAAAGAATTGTTCCATACTCAAAAGCTTCCGAGCGGCCAAAGAACCCGATCACCAAGAAACCAGGTTTCTCTTTTGGAGGCTCCCTTTAAGGGATCTGGCTCGGAAGCCCTAACCTCAGCTTCCCCCTACGTAGGTGGCTTGGTTTGGTGGTTTGGAGGTTTGGACGTTAGGGGCTACCAAGACCCCATTTGGTTTCAAAAGGATCTGGGACCCGTTCAAATCCCAAAGCACCAATTAAGGGGAAGCTGAGAACCGGTGGCCCAAGTCACTGGGAAAAAACCGAGGGCCGCTGAAGGGAGACAACAGCCTGCCCTCAGCAGGCTTGTTGCTTGGTTCGCTAAGACAGTTTCCTTGGATCCATGCCTCGCTCTGGAACCAGCTGCGACGGGGCGTTTCCTGCTTGTGGTGTTGGCAGGCGGCACCACGGCTTTCAACGGCCAGCCGCACGCGATCGCCTTCTGCCTCTGGGTCGTGAGCCATGCAAAGGTTCTGCGAACCTGGCAGTAGGATTTGGGGGGAGGAGGGAGCCAGGTGAGGTTTTCACCCCGCCAATAGTGCAAGAACATGGTTACACGACCTGTGGAAGCTCCTGCGTTTACCGCAATTCGGCTTGGAAATAGCCCCCCCACGACCCTGGCGAAGCGCGCAAAACTTTGGTCGCCGCTCAACGTGCAAGCCGTGCACGTGGGTTCTAACCATGTTGTGCCAGGGTTTTCACTGAGTCGTGGGCTCCCTTGATTCTAACCATGTTGTGCCAGGGTTTTCACTAAGTCGTGGGTTCCCTTGAACGGGTGTTCTAACCATGTTGTGCCAGGGTTTTCACTAAGTCGTGGGTTCCCTTGAACGGGTGGTCTAACCATGTTGTGCCAGGGTTTTCACTCAGTCGTGGGTTCCCTTGAGCGGGTGTTCTAACCATGTTGTGCCAGGGTTTTCACTAAGTCGTGGGTTCCCTTGAACGGGTGTTCTAACCATGTTGTGCCAGGGTTTTCACTAAGTCGTGGGTTCCCTTGAACGGGTGTTCTAACCATGTTGTGCCAGGGTTTTCACTAAGTCGTGGGTTCCCTTGAGCGGGTGTTCCAACCATGTTGTGCCAGGGTTTTCACTCAGTCGTTTCCCTTGAATGGGTGTTCTAACCATGTTGTGCGAGGGCTTTCACTAAGTCGTGGGTTCCCTTGAACGGGTGTTCTAACCATTTTGTGGCCCTGTGTGGGCCTGGTGGAAAAGCGAGCCGCGAAGGAGTTGGTAGCGGAAGCGACAACTAGCGGTACATAGGGCGGTGCATCTGGCTCTGGCTCTTCAGCCTCCTCTGACTCAACTGCTTCGCCAACCATGTCGAGGGACGGTGTGGAAGCATCACGTTCCGCGGCCAAGTCTGCCAGCAGCCTGTTGAAACTGCACGGCATCTTTCCACTGAGGGCTGTCTGGAACGTCAGCGTGGCTACGTGAACGAGGCGTCATGTCGAGCCAGTGGCGACGAAACCGCCCACCCGTGCGACCCCACCATTGCTTGAACGCCTTGGCCGGCGGGGAGTCTGCGTCTTGAACTGGCGAGGGGGTCCTTTCGACGGTGATGTTCTTGAACTGTCGCTTCCGGCAGAACGTCTCGCTCTCGGAAGATGAAGCATCCATCGACATGGGGAGGCAGGTCTGATTGCGCGGAGGCGGGTGAACGAGGGGGGCCTGACTGGCTGATGAGAAAGACCAAATCCCACTCTCTCAGAAAATTGCGACTCTCGCAGGAGCTGCGAGGGGTCGTGACACCAAGAACATGCAAGAACGCTTCTGAGTGAGGGCAAGGGATTTTCCCTTTCGTCATGAGGATCTCATTTTGGCTGCGCACAAGTTGCGAACCGCCGAATTCACCTCATGGCAACTCACCTGGCCCTGGCAGCATAGCCATGTGTTCACCTGATGTTTACCTGGGTGCAAACGACGGACTCCCATCATGGCAGATATCCCTGCAAAATGCACGAGGCATTGCAAAGACGGCCTCGGGACCCTGAAAATGCAATTTACTAGCAAGTGGGTGGAGGGATGCCACGGCGCCGGGGATATCCAAATTTGCTGTTACAGAGGGAGCTAAGGAGCTACCAGGATTTCTGTAAGGACGGTAGAGCAACACTCTTTCAATTGTCTGCACAGGTACCGGTCAAGGCGGACAGGAGCCAACAAAGCCGCCAGCTGAGGGGAGGTTCAACAGTCCGTCTCACTGCTTGTCGACAACTAGAGTCCTGCCCCAGCAAAAAGAGGGCACAATCAGGGCGGGGCCCACAACAAACGGCGGTTGAGCTGTGCATTGAAGACACACAATAGGTCCTGTTCGGGGTTTGCCCATAGCTTTACGCAAGCTATCAGCTTGCGTGGAGAGATGTAGAGCCTTCTCACCGTGTCACCTAAAGGAGGTGCAGTAGTGCATGACCAAGCGGTCAAGCGGTGAACCGCCTGAGCCTTTTCCATGTGCAGGTCCTAGTGAAAATCGCGAGTGCTGGGATTGCGTTGGTGTTTATAAGCTGCCAGTGCCGGATGTGGGAATTTCCAGACGTCATGCAAAGAGGTTTCGGCGTAGTTGAAGGCCTGAGGGCCAAGCAAAGCCTTCTGAAGTCCGCTTTTTGGTTTCCCGGTTTTGGATCATTTGCAGGTCCATTGATGAGCGAGATCTGGAAAAGCAATCCAATCATTGAAACACCTCAAGAGCAGATGTCTTGAGCTACGAGTTGATGTCGACCCTTGATTATTCAAGCCGCTCGCAAAATGCTCGGGCCCCCCTTTCCCCCGGGCTTTCTGTCCAGGTCAACAAGATCAACAGGTTGAACCAAGCCCTTTTCCCTCGGCCCGACGAAGCTACCGCTCGGACGAGCCGCGAACCGCGTGCTCCGCTTCACTCGCGGACCGTCCCTCTGCGGGTTTCTCCGGTTCCGGGCAGGTGCTCCCGCAAAGAACCGCGAGAGCAGCATCGCGGAGGCTCGTCTGCCATTGTTTTGGGGAGGACATGGGGAAGGTTTCAAGCAAAGCCCGCAAAACCGCGGGCGGAAGGCCCCGATTTTCTCATGTCCTCTTGGGGAACAAAGAATGTAGGGTGAGGTTCAAGTGCAATATATATATATATATTATATAATATATATATATATATATGTATCAATTCCCCACGAAGAGAGCCACTCCTGATTAGCATGGTCCACATTGAGCTTGGAACCTGACTGGAGGTCCCATGTTGGGGGGGAATACTCCAGACATGGAAGCTCTCAACGTCTTCTCATGTTTCTTCCACGCGTTCCCGCGAGCCTTTTTGTTTGTTCGAGGTAGTCCCGCTTGAAAGCTACGCAACTCCAGTCCAACGCGGGCATGAGAAAGCCGAGCGACGAGCATGAGACATGCATTTGGACCTATCCGAGGTTCGCTTGGGGCTCAATTCAGTCCATCACGCAGCTTTTCGTGGGAACGGGATCCCAAGCAACCTGGAGACCTGTATCCAGCGTTGGAAGTGCATTTTCCGAAGCCAGTTGAAGGGAACTTAGTTGTTTGAAGGGGAAGTGCATGGACAGACCTGCGAACTTGCTCATGCTTCGGGCTTCCCCATGAGACATCTACCCGTACCCAGCGCGCGCGCGCGGAAAGATCGGATTGGTGAATTGCGGATAGGTGGAGGCGAGATGTTGGGCGATGGCCAGGCGGGTCCTGGTGGTTTGGGGCTCCGGAAAGGATCGGAGTTCGCCTGAGCAATTGACAAGATTGCCGAGGTGTCTGTTTTTTTTGTTTTTTTGGGAAAGTTAGGTGTTGGTTTCTTGTGGTGGTGTCGGAGATTCAGAAAACTGTGCATGTTTGAGATTCAGTTCTGCACCCCAACTCTTGGGATTTGTTCACTCCTGAAGATTGCAGCTCATCGAAGGAGAACAGCGACATCGGGCAAACAACGCAACGGCACCCCCTAGAGAGCTGTGGGGTGGCAAACCTGCAGCATCCCTTTGATTTGAGGCACAAAGTGCACATTCCTTGCCTGAAGGGAACAAATGACCCATGGGAACGCCTCAGGGGCCCAGTTCTCCTCAGGTGCATCCCTTGAGGACTGCGCCATTCAAGCGACTAAAACCACAGAACTGGACAATTGCAAGCAACCCCTGCAACGGAATCCCCCGAGGTGGACGAGCGTTCGCTGAAGTTGGCTTCTTTCAATTTGGCCCCTTTCCGGGCTGGTTCTGGTCGGGCCACTTTCCAAGAACTTTTGTGCTTTTTTTCCCGGGTTTGGCTCACTCAAAGAGCGAAGAAGCCCTTGCTGATTGGGTGCTGCTCCGGGTCTGACTTCCAGGTCTGAATGTGAACCCAACCAGTTCGATGACGCTCCACGCAACACCTCTGTCAGGCGAGATCCAGCCACTGGCATGCCGGCCGGCGGCTCAGGGCATGCAACATATTATGGATACCATGCAGTCAGCTGGTGTCGCATGGACTTTGAACAGGCTAGTGAGCTGGTGTTATTCATAGCTTCCATAAATGGGATCCGTGCAATCGTTGGATGCTGGCTTTAGTGTTTGGAAGCACCCGCTGACTCAAAAGAGAGGTGAGCCATTTGGAAGTTGATTGCTCATTTGCTTCCCTTGAGCAGATGGAGGCCGATGGGCTCTGACCGTGGACAACGACCACGTCCCTCAAAAACAGCCCGGCGGTTTTCCGACGCGTCTGAGGTCTGCAGCACCTGCGAGCGCATTGGGCACCCGCTCTGCGGGCTCAAGTGCCGCTCTCAGGGCGGGGAACGGCTGGCAGGGGGAAATCAACGCGGAAGGCTTTTCCCTCTTGATTGCGGTGTCCTGGTGTGGAGAAACCGCACAAAAAAGGGGGATTCTTTACAACTTGCCTTTTTTTGCATGATTTGGAACAGTGCCGTTTGGACATGTAGTAGGGAGGAAAGCACCCAGGTAGAACCTTTAACCGATTCCGTGGCTGTGAAGCGAAGGCCTGCTCTAGCACCCACAGCAGGTGCAATGTTTTGTCACCATGCGCAAATTCTAGCGAGCCCAGGATGAAATTTCCTTGCCTGGGAATCCTTCTGCTTGATTTTTGTTTTTTAGTAGTTTGCATACATTTTGCACGGTTGGATAAAGTCGAGATTTCCGTTTTAGGGCACACCCCGCGTCAAGAGAATCCAGGCCTTGCCGTCAAGCCACTACCCCCCGCAATGCTGGGCAGTCGAATGTTTCAATCCTCTCTTATGTCACGAAACGGTTTAAACGGGATCACATGGCAAGTCTGTTTTAATTGGAGCCCTTGCACGGATGCCTTTCGTTTCCCCTTTCAAACAGATGGTGCACCATCCCGGACGTCCTCCGAGTTCTTTTTATCAACTCGGATCCCCCCCCCACTACCCCCCCCCCCCACCCCCCCACCCCACCATTCTGCCGGGTTTCTTCCGTGCCATCCTCAAACATAGCTTTCGGGCATCCTAAAAGATCTTGGTTTCCAGGGAAGCCGCCGGGACCGAAGAGTACTCACGACCCCTGAGCTGTCCCGGCCAGGTATTGGATCACCTTGCGAGCGGCCTGGCTCAGGACGGATGTCGACTGGCGCCTCCCATCTGCGACTTTTTTCTTTTGAGGGAATGCCTTCTGATTGGTTTTTATGGGGGGAGCAACTATTTGTTATTTTTCTTTTGAAGGATCACCTTTTTGGTTGGTTTTTACAGGGGAACAAGAAGGACAACCGGCCATTTTGGGGGTCTGCTGAAAAATGACATGCCCATTTGTGTATGGACAAAATCCACTTCGCACTAGTTGGGATGGATGAAACCCCATGAATACTGGGATAGGGCAGTTCATCAGTAGGGAACCCTCCTATTTGTGAACATTGCCCGTTCGGGTTGTCCAAGGTTTGGCCCGCACCACGAAAGGGCCCCACGATCCCTAAATCTGAGACATTGCTATTGCTAGGTGATGCTCCTTAATTTGTTTCCTTTTGGTTTGTTATGTATGCTTGTAGATTTACAAGTTACAGCCGCCATCTTTGCAGGGTTCACCTTTTCAATGGAACCTTTCATTTGCTGAAAGGATTTCATTCCTATCGTTGAATTCCCTAATTCCCTTGTCTTCAAGGGGAATCGATTGCACTGGACGTATTTTCTCGTTTTCCCCGGAAACCCGAAACCACCGAGCCGGTCGCCGATTTGTCGCCTGTTTCGGCCCGCAGAAACCCGAACCCGCAGGCTGCCGGAGCAGGTGGTGGCGGAGGAGCCCCGAAGCTTCGAGGACCCCCGGTTTTCGCTGGTGGCTTAGTTGGGCAAGCGAGGAAAAACCACCGCCTGGTGGCTGATTTTTTGGAGGTTCTGCCAATTTGTTTGGCAGTTCCGCACTAGTTATTGTGGAGGGTACCCCGATGTTGGCAGTGCGTCCATGGTCAACACAGCTTTTTGTTTGGGTGGAGGTGGTCTTGGACACCTTGTTGTTTTTTTGAGCAACTACTGGGGGTTGCTCCGAGCGTCTAGCTGACCAAGCCTCACGCGTAGAACATCGGTTCGATGTTTGGATTGGTGTTTTGGGGGCCGGCCCAAATTGCGATCACCTTTGGTACCTCTTTGTTTCACTGCATCGCCGCTCAAGTTTCATCAGTCCCAACACGGGGTCCCCTTTTTTCTGCCTTCAGGTGTTGCCTGCGCTGCCTTCCCCAAGATACGGATCCAGTGGGGGCAGCAATCTGATCGGAGATTCGCACGCGGATCCGCGAGCCAGGATCCTGGATCTATACAGATGGCAAGGCAACAAGAGATAGGCCTTGGGCGCCAGGTTTGAAAACACTTCCCGGGTGTCGACTTTTTTTGGGGCTGGTACCCCCCCTTTTGAAATGGGTTTTGAGGGGACGACAGGAGGTTTCCACCAGTTGGGTCCCGGCTCCCCGAAAAAGAAGGCGCCGCCACATGCCTCAGGCTTGGGGAAGGCCGAAGCCCCGCAGCCCTCGCAGGCTTCATCCGTGAGATTTCCGAGGGAGAAGCCGAAGATTTGGAGGACTGAGCCCGGGATGGTTTGGAGTCCCTCGGAGGGTTTGAGAATCGAAGGAAACTCTGAAGGGGGGACCGAGGAACGCAAAGATCTTGTTCTCTGAGGTTGTGTTCCTTGTGGTGCTGTTAGGTCTGTCCTCCATATTTCTGGAGTGCTGGGCATTAACGAACACTTGGTTGATCGCAGATTGCCGAATTTGAGGTCGTGAAACTTGGCCGCAAGATTTACATGTTTGGCTATCTTGGTTCGCAGAGTTACTAGAGGTTTGACACGAAGTGCTGGCGGCGCTCCCCATCTGCGTATGCTCTCCTGCTGTGCTGGGAACATGATTGGTTCCTGTTTTCAACATGCAAGCGGAAAGTGGTTGCACCAACCAAGAGAGGGCCATTTTCCGCTGACCTGACCAATCGCGGTACAGGCTGCTCTGTTAGGAACTTTGGGGACCCGGCCCATGAGCATGCTCCAGTTCTCTTTGGTTGCAAATGGTTGAACCAACCATTAATGGAATCAAACAAAGTCAACTATTGCAAAGTGACCATCTCGAACATTCGAGGGCAAGCAACAATTCCCCACCCATTGCACCGCAAATCCCCCCCCCCGGCCAAAGCATTCCTGGGCGCCAGGACTGCCTGGACGCGATCCAACGGCCCTTCCCGCGTCTCCGGAGATCTATCCCCCTGTCGCAGGCAGTGGGGATGGGAAGCTGAGGCCCTGGGTCTCAATCTTTCTTGTAGACAAGAAACATCCGATATCACCATAGTCCTCAACAGGGAAGCTCTAAAACCTCCAGACAAGGTTTAACTAAAGTATTATGTCGCTATGTCGCACGGCATGCAGACCACCGCGATTCATTGTAATTGCAAAATTGCAATCGGACGAGGAAAGCCCAAAAAAGATGCCGGGCCAAGGATTGATGAGATATGTTTCCACAGGGCCTACACGAACGGCTGCGTTCGCTGCGCCTTCGTTCGCAACCCACTGCACCGCATCGAAACCGTTTGGCCATGCCTTTCTTTTTCGACGGCAACGCAAGTGGGCTCTCCGTGTGATTCTGGAATGTTTGCTATGCACAGAAATCCCCGCGCAAGAACACAAGGCTTTCTTTGGTGCGAGACCTGAACATGCCGCTAGGGCTAAGACTCGAGTCCTGCCGGGCAGGTTGTTGGGAAGCGGTCTGATTTCTCTATGAAAGCGTGCCCTTTTGGTCTTTCTGCCCTGTTGTTCCGTGGTGTTTTTTTTTTGGCGAAACCCGGCGGCAGCAGCTTTTGGCGAGGTCCTGAACAGGTACGGCCGCCCTTTTGTCTCCTTTCTTCCCTTCTTGTCTGATTTGTTTTTCACCACGGTTTGGAGTGTGCCGGCTAGACCCCCCCAAAAAACAGGTTTGGACTGTCCGCGTGTCAGGCAGTGCAATGTGCGGAAGCGCTCTGGGACGCGGCACTTGGCTGAGCTCACTAAGCGAGGCACAGGGCTCCCCCTTGATTGCCCTTGTTTCAGCATCACCATGTTGGACCAACTTTTAGGTGAGTTTCCCTTGGTGGGGTTTCGGCTCCCTATATCTCGCTTGGTGGTTTGGCCCGTTTAGGTGAGTTTCCCTTGGTGGTGAAAAAGGGGGGGGGAAGGTGATGTTTGAAGGGGAAATATAGGGAGCACCGAGGGACCAAGTTGAGACCTCGTTTGACTTCATAGAGTTGCTCCAAGCCCCAAAGCAAGGACCAAGAGCACAAGGGGGAAAGTTGGTATGGGGCCCTGGGTTTGCCCTTTGCCAGCAACCAAACCTCTACTCTAGGGTCTTTTAGCACTGATGAGTATGATCCAGAACTGGAGACTGCATTTGTTGCAAAAGCTGAGTTTGGGGAGGTTCAAGAACAGGTTGGCCTTTATACCCATTCCCACAGTCCGGAAGCAATCTTTCATGTTTTCTCATGTCGAATGGCCATTCAACGAGAGAGATTCAGAGACCGCAATCAGTCTTTAAGTGGACCCAGACCTAAATGTTGATAAGAGCAGGACAGCACAACCAGTCGCTGGATACGAACAGTTTTGCTTCTGGAAAACAGTCATTTGTCAGCGCATGTGTCCAATCTTTTGTGCGCACCCCAACTGGATCACCATGTAGATCTTGCGTTTTATAGGTCTTTGCAGTTGTTCGGCGACCAGTTTGCTAGCATTTTATTTGCATCCTGCATTGATTGATTATGATGGCATTGTATAGCAATTTGAACCATGACTATCCCAGAGAATCAACATCAGCTGTTCATCTCACACCAGAAGGCTAAGCCTGTGCTCATCGCACTCGTAGCTCGCGGATGTCGCGCACGTTTACAGCTTGCGGGGCAGACTGCGCTGTGGAATGTCCCCAAAACGCGGAACGCTAAGCGTGTGCCGCCCAGGATGACTGACTGGGCAGCGACCGGCGCAGACCTACAGTTCGAAGTTCCGAACTTCCAACAGGCGCGGGAAGCGGGTGGCAGTCATGAACAACTGTAATAATGGGATACCCCACCTTACCATTTCCATGTGTTCCAACCCTGCCAAAAACCTGAAACCATACAATCCAGAAACCAGCAGCTTGACACTGCCTTCAATTAACCCTGACCAACCCAAAACAAGGCACTGCCGTCAGTAGTGGCAGGAGGATTGCGCGGTTTGAGTCTTCTCTCAGCTCATGCATTAGGTCCCACCCGCTGACATGACGACATCACGGCAAAGCACCCAGTCGTGCAAATCAGGGGTTGATTTATCCAGAGCTTGCTTTTTCTCAATATCCAGGCTCTTGACATTGGACACAAGTTGGAGCCACCCATTGACTCCGGGAAACGTTTCAGGGTGGCGCTTGGGGTTTCCTTCGGTCTCAGGGAACCCCATGGATTTTCAATTCGATGTTTCCCCGAATAGAACCAGGTGGATACCAAAGACCGGCACGAGTGATCAACTCTTGCGACTGCTGAAAATTCGCACTTGCCTGCCAGGACTGGACACTGAGGACTGTGTCCAGCAGGTGTCGGGCCGGCAACATGATTCAATCAGCTTAGTACCTAGTGGCTCTGTCAGGCAAGGAGCAGAGCTGTTGCTAGCCGACAGGTACCCGCGAAATATATCTTTGGCATCTCAAGTTGCACTGCGGGTTATTGTGCTGTTGCCCTCCCAGCTACAGTTGCCAACACTGAGTGGCAATGGCAATGGTACTCGTGTGGCGGTTTGTGCCGACCAATTGATCTCGGACACACCGCAAGGTGATTGCCAGTGTCGGTAAAGCCGACCATAGCGATCGTTTCAACCCCATTGCTTGGAAGGCTCGTGCTCCATTGGCTGAGTCTCACAGAACCAGGCCCATTGTTTCATTGCCAGACTCAACTACCCGTCTTGCCCTTTTGCCCTTGCGGTTTTCTCCATCTTAGCAAACAGTTAACTTTTGTAGGGGGTCTAAGTTGGACAATGGTTAAATGAAGAATGCAGAATGCACCGCTCAGGGTGTGAGATACACGCATACAAGAGGATCATTTCGATTTCTATTTTGATGCTGTGTTGATGCCGTGGCCGTGTGGCTTTGTGCATGCTCCTTTTTTGCTCATTTTGCAAGGTTTCCCCCCCCCCCCGCAGCTTGGAAGTCCTGTGGACTTGCCGGCCCTATCAAGGCAATTCTCGCCGATCTTCCAACCAAAAGGGTTTTGGGATTGGTCAAATACCCATCCAGTGTGCTGCATCATTCACCTTAGAATTTTGTTGCAAGGTCCTTTTCCAGGCATTCACGGTCACCGAGGCTTTCAGCCAAGGTTTGGTGATGTATACCGAGCGTTGCGCACGTTCTACCTCAGATCCAGCCAGTCCAAACTTTCCGGAGCTCAACAAGCGCACAGGAGAGGTGGTAAAAGTATGACACCTTTAAGAGGGGTCCTCGATGGTTTCTGTTTTTGGGGAAGTATTGTTCATAGTCATGGTAAAAATGGGACCTTGTCTTGAATGGCTTCTGACGGAGAACCGAAAGGAAGCCAAACATATGTGGAGAACCAATAGGAAAACAAGCAGCCCACGGCATATTTTGGACACACCCCCAGCGTCTAGGAGTATCCACGCCGATGCATGTTGATCACCTGAGCTGTTGTCATGTGTTGCTTTAAGGACAGGCTTTCCTAAAAAAATAGGTAGGTTTTCTGCCAAAAGGCCATGTTGGACACCCAATTTGCGAGCTGCTTACGATCGGCACGATGATGCGTTTGTTCGTTTGTTTGTTTGTTTGTTTGTTTGTTTGTTTGTTTGCTTGTTTGTTTGTTTGTTTGTTT